CACACACTCACACAGGACACACACTCACACAGGACACACACTCACACAGGACACACACTCACACAGGACACACACTCACACAGGACACACACTCACACAGGACACACACTCACACAGGACACACACTCACACAGGACACACACTCACACAGGACACAAACACACACAGGACACAAACACACACAGGACACAAACACACACACACACTCTCACGGACACACAGGACACACACACACACGTCTGAGACGCTCTGCTGCAGCTGGATGTGTGTCTGCTCATGTGCACACTACACTACTGAACGCACATCTACAGATGACGGATGAGGCGTGTCCATTGATGCAAACAATTAATCGCAATTAATTGCATCCAAAATAAATGTTCTTGTTTGCACAATATATGTGTGTGCTGTGTATATTTGTTATGTATATACAGTTGTGCTCATAAGATTACATACCCCTTGCAGAATATGCAAATATGTTAATAATTTTAACTAAATAAGAGTGATCATGAAAATTGCATGTTATTTTTATTTAGTACTCTCCTGAATAAGTTATTTCACATAGCAGATGTTTATATATTCTCCACAAGACAAAATAATAACTGAATTTATAAAAATAACCCCCTTCAAAAGTTTACATACCCTTGAATCTTAATACTGTGTGTAATTTCCTGGATGATCCACGACAGTTTTTATATTTGGTGATAGTTGTTCATGAGTCCCTTGTTTGTCCTGAACAGTTCAACTGCCTGCTGTTCTTCAGAAAAATCCTCCAGCTCCTGCAGATTCTTCAGTTTTCCAGCATCTTCTGCATATTTGAACCCTTTCCAGCAGTGACTGATTTTGAGATCCATCTTTTAACACTGAGGACAACTGAGGGACTCATACTTAATTACAAAAGGTGAAAACATGTTCTGATGCTCAAGAAGGCAACACAATGCATTAAGAGCGGGGGGGGTAAACTTTTGAACAGGATGATGATGTGTACATTTTTCTTATTTTGTTTAAAGATCATATTTTTTTCATTTGGTACTGCACTTAAGAAGCTACATAAATACTTGCATGTTTCCCAGAAGAAAAAACAAGTACAATTTACCCTGATTATCCAATTTAAAAAGTTTACACTTTGCTTAATGCATTGTGTTGCCTTCTTGAGCATCAGTAAATGTTTTCACCTTTTGTAATGGTTATGTACGAGTCCCCCAACTGTCCTCCATGTGAAAAGATGGATCTCAAAATCAGTCACTTTTGGAAAGGGTTCAAACATGCAGAAGAAGCTGGAAAACTGAAGAATGTGCAGGAGCTGGGGGATTTTTCTGAAGAACAGCAGGCAGTTTAACTTATCCTTATTTCACTGTTTATAGGTATTTGAAGTATATTGTATGTACTCGCCTATAAACAGTGAAATAAGCATGTATTTGACCGAAATTCCAGAATCGTATCAAGCTGAGTATCTAGCACAGTGAATGTTTACGGTTATCAACCAATGGAATATTACATTTTATTCTTTCTGACAACAAATCACGTAAATCACAACTTCATAAGTGGGTAATAGGAAAGTTTCTGATAGTGAAGACATCAGAGAAGCGCTCTCGCTCAGCACAGAGGAGTGCATCATTTTGTTAACTTTGTAGTTTATTATTTTGAGTCTTTGGGACACGGTGACACACGACTCTCTCACAATATATTGCTTAACAGATTAATCAATTTTGCCGCTCAGAAATGTTCACGCAATCATGCTGCACGTATCAGAAGAACCGCGCTTTGGCCCACCTCTTCCAACCGAGCCAGAGACAGCTAAATGAACCGGAGCGGTCACACTACTCAAACGAACCGGGCTTTGGGGGTCAAATGTGCTCTAATCCTTGTTTAATATTGACTAAACATTTAATTCGAATGTCCACTTAATCTTTAATATTTGGCCATTTCTTTAGGACAGAAATGCTATAGCCACTGCAATTTGTTGAATATGTGGATATCAAAACGTTTAAACTCAGAGCGAGGGTTTGAGCTTTCATTTTGAAATCGCGATGAACATATTGAGAAAGATACTGATGTGTTCTCCTGTGTTTGCGTAGGTTCATAAATGATTTACTTCACAAATCTGATGAAATGGCGCACGATGCGTTCCCAGACAAACGTTATAATAAACCCAAACACACAACAACATGCAGAGATGAGTTTGAGACGCTCCACAGATGTAAATGATAACAGTTTGTGCGGAGCAGCGTTTACTGTGACACGCACATAAATAATTAAAGCACATTTATTAAACCTGCATCGCATATACTTATTTAATTGAATTGTAGCGTTTGTGAATTCACAATAGAATTATGCTTTATTATGATTTTTCATGCAGCCTTGGAAAACGGTCTAATAATGCGTTTCATGGATTCTCGTCTGTGAAATGAGCCACTTCTGGTTTTTAGTCGATTACTCGACGCGGGCAAAATGAAATCGAGGATTTTTTTTTAATCGAATACTCGAATAGAATGGAGGAATCGTTGCAGCCCTGGTTGTGTGTTTGTTAAACGTGTTTCTCACCATCGGTCTGATGCGACGCGTCTCGTCTGATCTCCGCCACTCTCCTTCTGTAGTACAGAAACTCCTTACTGCTCTTCTCAAACAAGAACCTGCGCAGGAGAGAGTCAGTGCTGGAAGATCTGGACTCAACACAGAAAACAACGAGCTACAAGTGACAGATGAGGAACTTACGAGAAGACGGGATCGTCTCTGTAGTCCTCCATGGCCTTCTTCTCCAGCTCAGCACCGCCTTCGGCGACAAACGAGGCCATCTTATCGATGACGAGACGCAGATCTCCGTCCTCTGGGGGGGAAACTTTAAGCAGGCTATGAGAACGCCAGCATAACGCAAACACTGTACACAGCACATCTGATAATCTGACGGACATACAGTCACACGATGAGCGGAGTGAGCAGCGGACCGCTTATTCATCATGATCTTAAAGCTAAACCTGAGCCTTTCTAGTCTTTCATCAGCACTGGAGCTGCACTTCATATTTTGATACTGTTACGTACATACAGTGCAGCACAGACTCGTTAATAAGCATTGCTGCTTAATCACAGACATTTACAAGTTTGTTTCTTACACTACAATGGATTGTAGGTAAATATCACCATGCATACTATTTTTTTTAATTGATAAATAAAGTTTAATGGAGTATGTTTTAAAAGAAAATACTATTTGTGACTCGGGACCACAAAACCAGTCATAAGGGTAAATTTTGTGAAATTGAGATTTATACATAGTCTTTATGTTTCAATATTTCATTCAATTCCATGTGTTACTTGCCATTTCTGAGTGAGTTTTCATTGCAGCTGTCTTGTTGTTTTTTGTTTATTAAAGTAGCTTGCTACTGTTTGAGAAACGACTGCAAATGATTCAGTGTGCGAGTGCACTGCCCAAATGAATCAAACCTGAATCGCAAACAATTTCAGAACTCTTTGCAAACCTGTTTGATCAAAAGAGTGATTCATTTGCCATTTCTAAACAACCAATAGAAAACAAACAAGACACGACTGCTGAAATAATAACAGAGAAAAATTATTCTCAGGTCAGTATACATAAATCTCTGAGCTTTATCAATTATATTTTCATAATAGTTTTACTTCACATGTCAGATTTGAATGCCTGCTGGCACTAATTATTCAGGACTCATAGTCATAGCTAAACAGAAGTAGCAACAGAGCTTTTCTTCTGTATTATGACGCATATTTGATTGAAACTAAGAATCAATGCAGGGCGGGACTTGGTTCTCATTGATTGGATGTTGAGATGTGGGCGTGGCTCTCAAAAGTGTATGCAGATGAGCGAGAGCTGCAGGGGCGGAGTTTAAGAGACTAAACGATTGGAGAAATCCTGCATACGTCACCAGAGAGTAGATCCAGTTATGAGGATTTGATTAAACATTACGAGCTCACAGCATAAAAAAAAATGGACCGTTTACAATAAGATCTATAACATGCATTTATAATACAAATAGGGTGAATTTCCACTTCATGCTGACTTAATAAACTAATTAATGTGGGTCTGCTCCTCACACAACTCATCATGTGACTTCAGAAGCCAATAGTGCAAATCATACGGATTGTTATGAATATTTATGGTGCTTTTGGAGCTTCACGGTATCAATAACAATCCACATCCCTCTTGTGTAAAAGAGCAGCGAGAACATGCTGCTAAACGTCTCCTTTCATGAGTTTGACTGATGGGTGAACTAGTCCTTTAGTTAGTCACGTTAACTCAACCAGAGGAAGAATGCTGGTCAACAGGCCTTTAGATGAACGTTCCCTGGTCAAAACGTGGAGAGTGCGATACCTTTGACCTCCAGGTAGTCTGCATCATCGTCCTCCTCCTCTTCATCATCGGGGGAGCTGAACACACTGGGTCGGGCCGCGGGCAGCGCTGTCTTCTTGGACGGAGAGTAGTTCTTGAACTGATTGATCATGCTGCTGACCCCCAGACCGGGCCGCTTTCCGATCAGAACGCTCCTCTTCTGAGCCTGACCTCCGGCTGAGGGCGGGCTCTGAGTGCTGGGGGCGGAGCTGGCCGATCCTACAGGAAATGACATCAGCACAAGAGCTGCATGACAGTCCAAACAGAGCAGATCACATGGTGCATCACCACAAGGTTGTAATTACAGTTGAGGCCAAAGGTTTTCACCCCCCGGCTCTTAATGCATGGTTTCTGCTTCTGGAGCATCAGCGAGCGTTTGAACCTTCTGTAATAGTTGCATATGAGTCCCTCAGTTGTAATCAGTGTGAAAAGATCTCAAAATCATACAGTCACTGCTGGAAAGGGTTAAAAAAACACAAAAATGCTGCAAAACCACAGAATTTGTGGGAGCTGGGGGTTTTTCTGAAGAACAGCAGGCAGTTTAACTGTTCAGGACAAACAAGGGACTCATGAACAACTATCACTAAACAAAACACACAGCTCAGCTAACAACACAGTATTAAGAAACTTTTGAACGGGGTTATTTTTATTAATACAACTATTATTTTCTCTTGTGGACTATATGTACACATCTTTTAAGTGAAATATCTTATTCAGGTCAGTCCTAAATAAACAATAACATGCATTTTGTATGATCCCTCTTATTTTGGTAAAATAATTAACATTTTGCAGATTCTGAAAGGGGGGTGTAAACTTTTGACCTCAACTGTACAAGCGGGAAACGTGGGGCTTTCTTTAAGCCCAGAGTTTGGTTCACATCAGTGAGAAAACTACAATCCAGCTGAATTACAGCCTCATTAATGCACTATTATTTCACTTTTCACTTCAGCAGAAGTACAAGCGCTCATGTTATAGTGACACAAGACCAGGGGTATAACTATAATTAGATGGAGTGTGCAGGTTTAGGATTTTCGTATCAGCTGGCTCACAAAACCTTTCATGTTCATCATATTCTGTGCAGTGATCAGTTGACAACCTAACCTTAATTAGATGCATCAGATTCTGACATTTGATCTATATATTCAGTTAGAATAATGAGAAACTATAGACTGTCATCAATCAGATGAAATTAGTAAACAAAACCCTTGTTTGCTCTGCAGAAGTGGCACAGATGCTGCGTCTAACGCCACATTTACACTGCAATTACACAATGCTATGCATAGGGCTGGGTATCGAGTTCGATACTTTTTAGGCACCGACCGAATTGCCTCGATACCATCGAGTATCGAAAAACGTCTTGTCGTTCGGTACCAAATTTCGATACCTAAGGGGTTAATCTCATCAGCGTCAGTGAGCCAATAAGCCTGCAGCACTGGCCGGTGTGTTCGACTAGAAGAGGTGCGGCGCAGATCGATCATCCGCGAGAGCGAGTCGAAAGCGCACGGAGCAGTCTGCTCTCTTTAGCTCTCGTGGTACTGTAATACCACCAGTATAGAGTAGCGCGGAGCTGCGTGGAGCTCCGATCATATGCAGATGTCCGTTCATACTAACGTTACACGACCGAAAGACAATAAATAAGATTTATATTCCGCTTTTACTCAAAACTCACTTTAAACCACCATCGAGTGTTTGTAATAACTTCCGATACCCGTCTAACAGGGCCGGATTTACGCATTGCTCAAGACATTGAGCAAATAAATATAACAAACAATAGGGTAAAAAATGACAAACTATTTCCATGTCTTCCACCTTTTTTATGTAGGCTACGGAAATCACGCTTTCTTTCTCCCAGTCTCTCTCACAGACGCACACACAGTGCAGACACGC